CTATGAACACATCCTTCCCTACAAACATACTACTCCTGAAACACAAACCAGTACACCTCCTTCTGATTTCCAACTCCAATTTCCTTCATCTTCTAATCCTTTAGATTTTGAGACTTCACCACATCATCAGCCTGAGGGGGGGAGCTCAACCCCCATCCCTTTTTCACAGCCTGATGAACCTGTTGAAGTCTCATCACCAGATATGCCTGATAATTCTTTCAGCTCTTCTCCCACATCTTTACCTTCACCTGTCTCTTCTCCCTCTCAGTTACCCTTTTCACCTTCTCCTTCTCCCCATGAAGATCCCCCTATTCCTCTCAGAAAAACCTCCAGAAATCTGAAACCTCCAGTGTGGCATGCTGATTATGATGTGCAGTATCCAATGCACAAGAGTATCAGTTATTCACATCTACAACCTAGACTACAAAGATTTGTGAATTCTTTGATTACTCATGCTGAACCAAGAACTTATATTGAAGCCTCTGAGCATCCAGAATGGAATGAAGCTGTGAAAGCAGAACTACATGCTCTACTTGAAAATGGAACCTGGGAAATCACAGACTTGCCAGAGGGTAAACATGCCATAGGCAATAAATGGGTGTTCAGATTGAAACTGAAGTCAGATGGCACAATTGACAAATACAAGGCCAGATTAGTTGCAAAGGGTTATACACATGTTTATGGGATTGATTACTGTGACACCTTCTCACCTGTTGCAAAAATGGCTTCAGTTAAAATGTTATTATCAGTTGTTGCAGTAAAGGGATGGCATCTGCACCAAATGGATATCAGTAATGCATTCCTTAATGGAGATTTGTCTGAGGAAGTTTACATGGTGTTGCCACCAGGTTTGGATCCAACTGGAAAATACAAAGGAAAGGTATGTAAGCTGAGAAAATCCTTGTATGGTTTGAAGCAGGCCAGTAGGCAGTGGTATGCTAAATTGACAGAAAGCTTGATCAAACATGGTTTCAAACAATCACCTTGTGACTATTCAATCTTCACTGCAAAAGTTCTGAATGAGTTGGTTGTTTTGATTGTCTATGTTGATGATATTGTGCTTGGAAGCATAAGCTTAGATGCTATTAACACTGTCAAGAACATGCTGCATGCTGATTTTAAGATGAAGGACTTAGGAGAGTTGGATTATTTCCTTGGACTTGAGGTAACTCGAGGAAAGCAGGGTATAACAGTCTCTCAAAGAAAGTACTGCTTGGATGTTCTTTCTGAGTCAGGGTTTGAGGATTGTAAGCCTGCACCTACACCTATTTTCATCAAAGAAGTTCTGTCATCCACAGGAGGTGAACCTTTAGATGACATCAGTGAGTACAGGCACCTTGTGGGGCAGTTGCAATACTTGACCACCACAAGGCCTGACATTACATTTGCTGTACAACAGCTTTGTCAATACCAGGACAGCCCTACTACAACACATCTCAGGGCTTTGCATCGAGTTTTAAGGTACTTGAAAGGTTCACCTGGTCAGGGATTATTGTACTCCAAAAATGCAGACCTGCAGTTGAAGGGGTACAGTGATAGTGATTGGGCCACATGTCCAGATTCAAGGAGGTCAATTACAGGTTATTGCACCTTCCTTGGAGATGGATTAATTAGTTGGAAAAGCAAGAAGCAGACTACTGTGTCTCGTTCATCCTCAGAAGCAGAATACAGGGCGTTGGCTAGCCTAAGTTGTGAGGTGCAGTGGTTGATCAGATTGCTTGCAGACTTTGGGATTTCACACAATGCAGCAGTGCCAATTTATTGTGATAATCAATCAGCAATTCACATTGCAGAAAATCCTGTCTTTCACGAAAGGACAAAGCACATAGAAGTGGATTGCCATGTTATAAGGGTGAGAGTTCATTCTGGTATGACCACACTTCATTACATTCCCACAGAGTTACAATTGGCAGACATATTTACAAAAAGTTTGTCAATAGATCGATTCCATATGCTGTTGTCCAAGCTGGGAGTATATAATCTATACTCGCCAGCTTGTGGGAGGGTAACAAGGAACATGGAAGATGATGTTCCTACTGATCAAGGAATCAACAAGATAGTTGCTGGTTGCTGGCCTTGTTGCAGAAAAGAGCCACCTGATGAACCACGAAGAACAGGGTCAGCAAAGGAAAGGAAAACGACGACGCAGAGAAGCAACGAACAGCTTGGTTTGATTTATTAGCTTTTTACTGTACAGTCTTACACGTGTAAAGCTTTGATTTGTCTATAGTTTGCAGTAAAAACTAACTGCTGGGTAGATCTCTTTTTGCTGCTTTTACTCTGTAAAGTGTATATATTCTCTTCTCAATGGAAAGCTCAGTATGAGCAATTTCTCCAATTCTACCTCTTCCTAAAATCTTCTTAGGGTGTTCAAACGGTGTGGTTTCCGTGGTAATCGTTTTAACTTATAGTATTTGACTAATATGGTTTGGTTAAATTTTTTAGCTTGTTTGGTTTAGGTGGTTTGGTTGGGTTCAGACACTCCTAACCAATCAAACCAAATTAACCAGTTAACTAATTATCCATATACCTAATATATATTATATACACATACTTAATACTTGGCATAACAACTCAAAAGCCAAACATTCCTTTCTTTAGGCTCATCAACAATAAAGTTTAATATTGTTCCTATATTGTATATTCGTATTTGTAAAGTGTAGACCATGATCTATGAACGCCCAATTTAGATAAAACTCGTACAATATATTAGATGAAAACTTGAAAGGAAGATATTTTTCAACCTATGATAATTGCTAAGAGACTAAAATTCAAACAAGCACAACAACTAGTGGTCCTTAGAGACATTCTAAGGGACTTTCATTCTCTCTTCTCGTCATTTATGTTAGTTTTGTGTCCTTTTGCTTATTATAGCTTTTACAGAGCTACCAATCTAGTGCCAAAAAAACTTTTTCTACGGAAGTCCGGTTGCATACGATTATTTATTATTATCAATGTTGTAAATTTGTTGTCCTGTTCATTCTTTCGAAGCTGGGACTTTTCTAGGATTACAAAACCCCTTAATCATTATGAGAACCTGTACCATCGTGATACAACTTAATTATACCACATCTGTACCAACATGGTATAGATCCTTTGTACTACGTACCGAGATATCTGAAGTTTTGTACCATCATGGCATAAAACACGTGAAAGCATCTTTGTAGAATTCAAGTCAAAACAAAAACAAAAAAACTACCCAATGGTGCATAATAATTAATTAAAAATGGTACGTGCTCGTCGTCTCTTGTCCCAGAAAGCCCATGATCAAGAGCACTGAAAATGAGTCTTACTTCCTAGTAAACTTCTATGTGCCCCAAAAAAGTTCTCTTCTTTGGCTTTGAGGCCCCAAACTCCAAAGGAAAGATATACAATAAGGGCCAGACAACGAAATTGTGAAGGGGAAGCAAAACGCACCGAAGGGGCACTTTTCATTTTTTTGTTTCTAGCGAGGTATGAGATTGAGAGCAAGTGGCTATCACATTGGCCACAGAAACACACACTATATAGAGCTAGCTATGGGGGAACAAAAGATACCAATTTAGTACTGTCTTATTTATCTGTTGTTGAAGATGATCTTCTCCGTATCGATCTAATTTTATAAAATGCTTCCGAGGGATGGTTGAAGAGGATGCTGTATAGAATATTTATATCTCTTTTAAGTGTTTGAATTTACTGGCAATGTTGATCCTCCATCTATCTCGACCATTAATTAGTAGCTTCTTTGACTTTAATCTTAAGTGATTGTTTTGTACTGTTAAAATTGTGTATCGACTTGAGTCTGAGTAGACACTTTTCTAGCCAGACCACTAATACGGTACAATGTTGCACATACCGATCAAAATGGTGCTTCCCACCATTTAAATTCTTCACACATCTCGACTCCTTTTAGTCCGAACGCTTTTCCACAATGGCGAGAGGTCGTAACAATACACACCATCAATAATAAAGGCCGGTCGATTTTCTCTTTGTCTTGTTTGTTTCCTCTTTTTGGCTCCCACTTTTAGTCAAATACACTTGTGCTTGTCCCCCTCCTCCCTCTTCTATTGTTCATTTTTTCTAACTAGAATGATTATTCACAAAACGGAGGATAAAAATTATGTTCCATTGCCATCATCATTGTTGCCACCATCACCACCAACGTACGACAAAAATTAAAGCTGCAGCAGCAAGCTTCATCCGCCTCTTAGTTGCATTGCCGACTGGGAAGCTTCAATCAGACCACTGATCAACTTGTTACTAATCAGTATCCAATCTATGTCTCTCTGATCACTTAATTATATTATATGTAAACCAAAACCTTGATAATTCGATCAATTTTATCCATAGATCATGGATCAGGCTCGACATCGAGAGGTGCTTGGTGCTTCAAATGAAGCCTTGTGAAATGTGGTCGTATGCGCGGTTCGATTCACGGTAAACTAAGGAACAACCGCGATAAGTGCACCAATCATATGAAGATACGAAGATGATGAAGAATTTTGGTAGCCCACACTAACGACCATTATTTCAAGGTTGCATATTCATACCTATGATTTTCTGGCAAAAGGATCTATTTCGTATATAAGATAGAGAGAAAATTACCTACTCATTTCAAAACCCATGTTGTTGTTGTTGTTGTTTACAAACATCGATCTTGTTTGCAAACCCTAGCTTATAATAAGAAGAAGTATTAAAAAAAAGTGGAAGTCTTTAATTGTCCTGTTGAGAGAAAGATGCTTTATCTTTTACATGGATCAAATGAAAAAGGAAACAATTTAACTAATTGTCTCATTTTATTAAACTAGATCAACGAGCCAATTCGAATTATATGCCTATCTCAAACAATTCCAATTCCCTCAAAACGAGTCAATTAGTAATTCATCAGCCATAGTTCTTCATTAGAATTTTGTGCTGTCAAAATGAGACTATTTGATTCAATTATCTCAAAAGAGAGATAAGTGAATCAAATTAATTCGATAGAATCCCACATCCAAACTACCCGTATACTAGAAGAAGCAAAACTATAGCTAGGTAGATACATTGGAAACATGGTGAAGCTGAATCGTAGGCTTCCCAAGAAAGAGTAGTGATGATAGAAAGTTGAGTGAGTGAGTGAGTGTGCGCGCAGCTCAAAATGCCTCAATTCCCAAGGGCATCTATATATGCCACAATTTGACATGAGATTTGACACCAAACCCTAACCCTAAAAAAAAAAAAGTTAGAAAAGCCCTTTACTTGCTATATATAGCTAGCTGTTTATTATTATACCAGAGAGGGACAGATAGAGAGAGAGAGAGAGAGAGGAAGGTGTAGGTATTTCATTGAAATCATTACTACAAGAGTGTCTTTCACATTGCACCAATTGGAACAGAACAGTATTAATTAATATGCCCCAAGCTTAATTTGAAGCTTTTCCTTTGATATTTTTGCCATCTTGTATGCTCACCTGAAAATCTGCACAACAGAAATTTATGCACCCTTCTCTTGTAGCACTATTAATCAATATTACATAAAAAGAAATTACAGATAGGAATTAACAATTCTGTACCAGCTCTTCAGGTTGATCAAAGTTGTTCCAACAATTAGGTGTTTGTGGACCTCGATTATGATCTCCCTCCTTCTTGCAGCTGCTGCTTATTAAACCCGACCTCGTTGTCGTCGTAATGGGCTGGTGGGAAGTGAGCCCACTGATAAACCCCCCAAATTAGTTTCATGATCTTTGCATAATTTCATATTCAACAAGGAAGCATATGATTTAGTAAACTCACATTCTTGGCAGCCATACTGAAAGCTTCCTTGTGAGCCATTTTGGGGTTATCAGCTTTCAGCCTCTTGATCTCCTCTCTGCCACAACAACAACATGAAAAAGAGTATATGGTTACAACAAATTCAGAACCCAGTTCCCGGACTATCATGGAAAAAGAGAGAGAGAGATCAGTTCGTCTTAAGTACTTGATGAAGCGATTGTAAGCCGATGGAGCCCTCTGCCTTTTCTCTGGAGCTGGATGGATGGATATACAATTATTAGTAGTGTTGATTACATATATGGATGTATAATTAATAAGCTAGCTCGACGATCACCTACGTTTGTTGATGATGCGGTTGAGATGATGAACAGCGGCTTCTTCTTCTTCTTCTTCTTCTTCTTCTTGTTGCTGTTGCTTCGTCAGAGAGGCAGCTAAGAGATGGAAGGGAAGAAAAGAGGCTTTCAACATGTTCACAGACAGCAGGCTGGTGCACTGCCCACATCTCACCGTTACCACCATCGACAAGCTGCTGCATGGCACGCTCACCTTATACCCAACAAAAAATGATCAAACACACACAAAAAAAAAAAAAAGAGAACCAAATATGAATCGGGTTGTTTTCGGTCTGTTCACAACTTAAAAAAAAAAAAACACACACGCAGCAGAGAAGTCAAAAGGTGCATTCATTGAAATCAAACACCAGAGAAGAAGTTTTTTCCTCGCCGCGCCGGAAAACACAGCCTATCTACATATGCATACCAGCAAAATGGTGGTGCAGAATCCACACTGGACATAGCAGATCTGCTCTCCTGCTGGAAGATCAAACAGTTGGCTCACTGCCGTAGACGACATTTCTTCTTTCTTGGATGATGAAAAGAAAATGGCTTAAAGAGATAGAGATGCCAAGAACACTGGGACTTGTGTGTATATATAGAGGGAGGGAGAGGGTAATGATTAGTTTCTTTCTGTAAGAATGGTATTAGTGACTAATCAATGCATGCATAAGTACTAGTAGTGATTGATTAATAATTTTATCATTCTTATTAATAACTCTTTCATCATGCTAAATCATATATATAAATCCAAACAATAATTAAACTCATAATTTACCAACAAGTTTTTAGTTAATTTCCACACCAAAAAAGTTAGGTGTGGAGAGAGAGAGATAGAGAGAAGTTTTTGCTTACGAGATAAACACTCAACCCCTCCTCTCCCATTCCCCACCACTAATGCATCAAAAACTGTACACACTAATTAATTAATGGCGACTTGTCAAGAAGATGGAGTTTTCAATTAATCATCATTAGGGTTTTGATCAGTACTGTCACCACCACCAACTAGCAATCTTCAACGTTTCAAGCTAGCAAGCTGCTGTAGCTTTCATGGGGTTGTTTTCTGAGTTATTTACTGCTATATATCTATTAGCTGCAAAAGAGTTAAAGAGAGAGGATGGTGAAATTTTCCCACAACAAGTTTTTCTAGAAGAGTGCATCATGTTCCTCCAGAAAGGAAAGGAGGCATCTTTTCTGATAGATTTGTCTTTCTTCCTTTTCTTTCTTTCTAGTAGTAAATGCATGCAGAGCTATATATGTATCAATTCCCACATTTACCTTGCCAGGTTTCCATATCAATTCATGATCTCTAACCTTAATCTTTCATTGATCATCAGTCATGATTAGAATGGCAATGGGGCAGGTCCGGGGCGGGTATTTTGATACCCATACCCGCCTCATTGCAGGTCGGGTAATTTATTACGGGGCGTGGGTCGGGGCAGGTCGACCCAATGGGTATGTAATTTATGTCAAAAACATTAGAAATATTCGTTATTTTCATTAAAACACCAAGAAAGCTAGAAACCATAATATTATAAAATCTAGTTAAATTATAGAAGAAATTGAGATTTTCACTTAATTACAACTTTATTATAGCTAAAATATAATGTAATAAGAGGAGAATCCTAAGTAATTTGACTAAGATTATATGTAATTTAGGCAAAAACGGGTCGAGAATGGGGCGGGTCAGGGTAGATAGGGGTGATGAGAGATACCCATGCCCGCCCCAAAACAGGCCAAACAAGTCGGATAAATCGGGTCAGGTCGAAATTGTCATCCCTAGTCATGATTACGTTGAGGGTTGCTTATGATTTGGGTTGTTTTTTTTTGACACTGTGGTTTGGTGATTATGAGAGGGAGGAAAAAGAGAAGTCTGCCATGTGAACGCACGTGGAAGAATGGATTAGAGCTGGAATGGGAATGGAGTGCTTAAGGAGGATGATTGGCCATTTTGGGGAAGAAGGAAGGAGAGTTTGGTTTTTGAATGTGTTAATCCAACAGCAGATGGAAGGGAAGGGAAGGAAAGGGAAGGGATGGAGTTATTAATTGGCACCACTACTCCAACCACCCATTGTCAGGACCACTGGAAGGAAAAAAAACAAGTCTTGTTAATTAGTAAGAAAAAAAAGAAAGTAGAATTTTTTTATGCATGTATGATGATTCAAGTGATGATCGGCTCCATTGTACCTTGTGGTTTTGTGTAGTGGCGAAAAGAAGAAAACTGATAACAATTGGTGATTATGACTCCACAACTTTTGTGATGACCCGAATTTCTTTTGATCGGTCTTCGAGATGGTGCGCGATGCATGATGTATCGTATATGATATGAAGGCGTATAGTCATGAGTATGATTGTGAAACCATAACGAATATTGTACTTGGTAAGTTGATCGAAATTCTATACAATGGTACGTACAATCATGATTTAATCAATAGTATACTGATACGATACGTTATAAAATAAAATAACACATGCAGTGGGGGTAATATGTCTATATAATACTGATAAAAAAAACTCGTCGATACATCATGAGTAAGCAATTTGATTATATATATATATATATTGTAATAGTGGATAAAAGGAACATTCAGATATATGGTGGTGTATTCGGTGCACTCACTTTTTTGGGTGCATTCAATGCACTCGCTTCATAATCAACATTCTGAGAAGGCGATTCATGTGAAAACGATATTAGTCATCACTTGTGGTTTGATAAACAAGAAACACATGAATTTGTATAAAAAAATTCAAGATTTACTTTAATTTGACTAATTTAGGGTTTAAGAATTTAGAGTTAGGGTTAAGGTTTACAATTTGGGATTTTGGTTTGGTATTCAAAATTGAAGGTTAAGGGGTTATGATAATGAATTGATTAATTGTGATTCTATATTATATCATAATATTAGACTAATGCTACCAATTAAAATTCAAAATTTGATGTATTATTACCACTTTTAAAGTTGAGTGCACTGAATGCACCGATGTATTATCACCACTTGTGTATTGTATTGATCTAATTGCCGGTAAATGATTTTTGTGATTTAACCTCAGTACTGTAAAATATCACATACCAAGGGTCACGTTTAGTACAATTTTGTTGTTGTTGGTGGTGCTGCAAAGTTGTGACAACAGAGGTACAAACACAACAACATGAAAAATAAAAAAACAGAAACATGTTTAATTGGTAATTATAAGGAAGCATGGAAGTTTGACAACTAAAAACATAAATGCTTTTAGTTACTTCTTTAGACCTGTTTAGTATATATTAATGCTGAGAGTAAAACAAAAGTAGAAAAATATTGGGATGAATATATTGTGTGACATTATTAATTATGAGAAAATTGTGGATTATTTTAATGCAATTGATAAGAAAGTTCATTCTAGATGATCATAGATCTTCAATCTCAATAATGATAATTACTGATGCATCTTCTATCATGCAAGCTTATCCCTTTCACTAATGTCATCCTAACCGAGCTTTCACTACATGCAAAAGGAATTATAACTAGCTAATTCATGCTTTCGCTTCATGCGCGCCACTAGACTTATTAATCAAACAAGAAGTATGGATCACATTAAATATTTAGGGCTTCTACGAACCAATGGTGCATAACATTGAAGATCTAAGGTATCAAACATTGAACTTAGTCGAGCATATATAAATGGTTGATCATTCAATTCCATACAAGTCTAAGACAATGACATATCACACAAGATGTAGTTTCCTGGCAACTTAACTTGATATTGGAATAACATTATGATTGCACATAATAGATGATGGAGGCATCACATGGTTAATGTATCATAAAATTAAGATACTCAAATAACATAAGCATCACATGACTGAGGCATCTAATGGTATATACATCGAATACCATAGATAAAAAAATGACCAAAGCATCTCATTATATTATAGAAAGAAGATGCATAAAGCATCAATAGAATTCACATCCTTAACAACAAAATTTGAACTAACAATACATAGAACAAAAGGATGGTACCATCGATGATGAAGAAATCGCCTTAGTCGCTACCTCATATGAATGATAATTCGTCCTCCCTCAAGCCGATTGGCTCCTTGCTTGAGTTATACAGAGTGATTTTCAATGAAATTTGCAGCCTAATAATTCTCTTAACCTAACCCTCTACTTATAGTGGAAGGAAAAGGGATTTTTTAAGTATTCTCCTCCTAAACCTATGCCAAAAGCTTCCCGGTATCACTGAGACTTGGATTCCTTAACTCAAGGATGAAATAAAGCATATTCCAAAAGATTTCACGGGTCACCAATGCTGTAAGTTTTCCATCGGATTCAGCTTGCTTTGCCCACAAGTAATTCATATCTTAAATTTCATCACGACTTGATGGGTTCGGCGTAGCGACGATTGGTACTATCACAAGGCTTCTGTGGGTTTCTGTGTAGGTTCATGTTGAAATTTCTCTAGTGGAATCCTCTTGCGCTTTTATGACAACTTCATGAAGGCTTCCCCTCCATTTGTCTTCGTTTAATGAACAAATCACCTTGATCTTTTAGTAATTGTCCCTCTTGATCCTCACACTTGAGCCAATTGCTAATCCAAATCATCCTATAGTGTGTTTGACCTTGAAAAGCACAAAATAATAAAAAAAAGGGATAAAATGATATTAAAACACATCCTAAGTCCACTATAATCACATTGATCTCATATTTATGATTTCTACGCAAAATATACTAAAGATGTAGTGATAAAAGGGATAAATGTATCAAATATGGGAGTGATAAACACTATAATTTGAGTGTCATCACACTTCTTCGTCTTTCCTGTCAGTGAAAAAGGGATTACTCTCAACCTAATGGCACCTTTGGTGGCTTCGTCTCCTGGAACAGAATCTGAGATCTCCGGTAATGTCTTTAGCTGCTGCACCGGATCATCATCACTCCTTTATCGGATCTCCCAGCTTGTTGCACCATCTGCATCAACGATGTGTGAATCTCCATGGTTATTGGTGGCACACCAATGCTAGCAGGAATATTCGCAATAGTGCTTCAATACTCATATAGATCACGTGGAACCACCATTCTTTGTTGCTCTCCCATCGTGGATGATGTGGAAGATGCTACAGAGGATGCTTTTTCTGGAACATCGAAGAGACAATCTTTGTTATCATACCATCACTATAACCACTTACAACACGATATTATCACTGACAGTGGTATGTTATCATAGTGGTATGATGTTGATATAATAATAGTATGACGTTGATATAAGATCTTATGTTCGACAAAATAATTTGATGACATCATGTAATGATATTGTCACTATGGTATAATGATGATATCATATGATATAACACTGATATGATTGATATGACAGTAATATTATGTTGGTATGAGGTCTTATGCTTATCAAAACATAACAAAATGGATATTGTTGTGTGGATCTAATGAATGCATTCTTTCTATACAGTTTTTTCTTCAAATTTTGAGTTGAAATGAAGATGGAACATCATATCACTGTCATATCATGATGTTGGCATGACAGTTATATGATCTTGGTATGATGTCTTATGTT